CAAACCAAGCATAGTCGGTGTTAGCAAAATATAATGAATACGCAAATTACTTATTAATATGCATATATCGTTTCGTCATATTTCTTTGAAAAAATGCCAGTCCATTTGGACAAGTGAATATTCATGTGACAAGACTTCAACTATGCATGCCGACAAATACAATCTAGGTATTTTATTGAATTGCGAAAGAATATGAAATTATAGGTATGTAGACACGTGAGATCATTTGGTAAGGCTGGCTACAAACGTGTACATTTACAGAAATATTTGTTAAGATGGTACTTGATATCACTATATTTCATATAAGTAGTTTAAATCCAACATGTTTCCCAATTAATGACACATTTACTGTAATAATGTCAATGCATAACTATTTTGGAGCGCAGACAAATATAAAAAATACATACAACAAGTATCACTGCAATAGAGGGGGTAGTTTTCGAGGAGAAAATATCATTTTAGACAAATGGTGTCCATTGAGCTAAAACACAAATTTGAAAATGTTGATTTTTACTTGGACTATTAAAAAATAACGACAAATGCCAATTAACAGAGCATCTTCCTTCATCTGATATTGAGTAGCGTGGTAACATAGAGAAAAACAAAATGTAGATTGTCATTGTTTTAAGCCTTTGACTGGAATACAGGTGAGATCAAATCATTAAGCTGGCTATTTATATGTATAAAATATGTATTTAAATATATTCACGAACTGGTGGTACTCTGTATCACTCTATTGGCATCAGTGTTTCACCACGGACTCTGAAGCGTAAGGTATGAACTGCTTACTGGTTTCACTAGGATGCTTTTAGGTTTTACAATTCAGTCGTAACAAGAACGTCTGAATGGTATTATTTCCGTCGCTAGATACTTTTTTTAGTTTACTGCAATGTGCCGCATTATGCGTGGCATCGAAGTTAAAACAGAACAAGCAAAGCTCATAAGGTCACAGTGGCGACAAAGGTGGTATTTGTGTTTGTTTGTTTTTTGACCACGCTTAATATTTTCTAAACACATTTGATGATGTCAATTTTGCTGGAGTAAGTTTATCACAACTCCATATTTTCTTTTTGAAAGCTCGGCATTGTGAGTTGAATTATGCATTACATCATGATGAGATCTCGTGGTGAACGGAAATTCACTTATTTCAATTGTTTAATATTTCATCCCTTTGATGAACAAAAAAGTAGACTGATTGCTCTGTTACTATTATGTGTTTGAAGGCAATCTCTATTCTATACGTTTAGATTCACCGTTTGTAGCGCTGTAACATTTTAAAGGTTGACAATGATATTCAACTAGTATAAAAAGCAAACAGACTTGTTAGATGTAATCTAAGGCTTGACCCCCGGGGGGACTCACATTGAAGTGCTATATGTATATGTGCCGCCCAAAGCGGTTCCAAATTCACTACTTCTGTATGAAAAGTGGTGTATTATTTTACACTGTCTGTCCGAAAATGCGTATACTTTTTTTTCATTATTTCTGTCTGAAAAGGGTCCATATTTTCCAA